ACCTACAGGAGCAGCCTGTGACAAAACTTTGCCCTCTCTCTGCTCTTTGGCATGGCTGTTTCACTTCTAAGTCCCAGTTTCTGTCTCCCCACTAAAGGAGGCAGATGATATAAAAATCTTGTACACTCCTTTGGAGCCTTTCAAAGAGCAACTGATAATGACTTCTCATTTAACACACGGCACCCTCTTAAATTAAGATCCCCCTAATGTAAGCTCTTACGAACATTTCTGCTCATGCATTTTGCACCACATGAAAAATATCGTGCCAGAGAAATGTAGCTTCTGCTATGACAATATTCACCCGCAAACTGGCAAAATGTGCTTTTATTTCATTCTGGAGCTGTCACGACCCTTACTTGGACAAGAGAATCAGAAGCCATCTGGCTGTGCTCAATTTTTAAAAAAGAGTATGTGTATAATCTCATTTTAATATCCTTGTTATATTCTGCAATATAACTTCATTAGCCTAAACTGAGTTATCATTGATTTAGAGCACAGCCAACAAGGCTATAACCAGCCCAATCTTCAATATTCTGAAGACTCTGGAGAAAACTAGTCTTAATTTAAAGGACAGTATGTGGTATCAAACAACACAGATGTTACAAAGCTCTGCAGATTTTTTAAAAGCTGATTTTACCCCAAAATAAAACCTACCTCATAAATTTTAAATTTAAAAATAATCTAAATTATTTCTACTTCTCAAAAGTAATCTTCTCTATTACTATATAACAGATTATTAAAGAAAACATGAGGAAGAGCTTAAAAATATTGTTTTATTATCCTATCATTGTAGTCACATGTTAAATACATACGCTTCACTGTGTCTTGAACAGAAGTTGACTTGGTGCTTTCTTCCAATTTGGAAGTAGATGGTAAGTTTCAGCATTTGCTAGAAAGATTATGATTAGCACCCAATTTAAAAAAAAAAAATCTAATCTGATGGACTTTTTAACACAATTCGATTGCAGTAGCATGTTCTCATAGTTACTCAGCAGTTTAACACCTCTTGTTTGAAAGTATGGATGCTAAGGGCTTTACGATTTGAGGTACCTGATCATACTACTTGTATGAAAATCATCTTCTCTGGAATAAATTGCATATTAATTCTCTCTAAATTTTTTCCCTAAATTTTTTTCCCTAAAATTAAATATAATCTACCTAGCAATTCTGATAGATACATTTCTTGATTTTATAATACAACTAAATACCACCACCAGCTCAAAAAACCCACAACCAACCATGGGGATGAGATGAAGGCCACGCTTATCATTTACATCTCGAGAATTCCAATATGACATCATGAAGACCATACGCATCTTTATGAACGCAGAATGGTTTCACATCAATCTCCAGCTTGATGGTAAAACCAATCTTCTAGCTCCACTGCGGTTTTGGCGTTACTGTCAGTGCTAGCAGTCTGCAAAAACCCCCACGCATTTTGACACAACCAAATGAAATGTCGCTCGGTAGAAATACGAAACAGAAACCCTGCTTCCATTTCTGACTAGCCCAAAAAGTGGCTTAATGTTTTATTTAAGAAAATAACGGAACATAAATGGTTTGGTGAGGAGTAACTACATTCGTGGAAACTCTTAAGCAAAGAACTTTCTTAACGGGAAGCGGTCGCTAACATGACATTTTCCAAATATGAAATGGAAGAAACTTTAACGAGTAAAAGTAAGGTTACCAATGACTCTATTTGCAGGTTTATTCCTTCTCATTTTGGCAGCCCTGAAGAAGAAATAACCTGAACATTTTTATTTCAGCTTCTGAAGGTGCGAAGCTGTATTCAGATAAAGTACCATGCTGAGGGCAGAATAAAAAAAACTGCAGGAAACACAGTTCATTTATAAAACAAAGTTTGGCAGGTAATGTTAAGTATTACTTATCGAAATTCAACATTTGCCATACGAAGCAAAATCCCTGCAAACCAGAAGATATAGTGTAATAGATCTGTGGTGGGTACATAGATAAAAATATTCAGAGACAACTTAGGAAACAATAAATATGGCAGCTGCAAACCCATCTGCTCCATCACAGCTGAGCAGTAAGAGTGATGCTAATAAGCTGAACCTTAACTGAGTAATAAAAGGCAAACCAGCACACTTCTCCATTCCTAATCCTCCTGGCCCATACCCCACAAAATCATCTCTGTTTTTAATCTGAAAGTCAGCTCTCACTTCAAATTTATTATAATAAAGATGTCCTCCAAAACATTGTTGTGTTTTTTTTCCTTTTTAGCGAGAAGCACAACCATTTTAGAACCTTCTCCCACAAACAAGGGCAGAAAAGTGTGGGCTGGCAAATAAGCAACTTCTGGAGCAAAAGGATAAATCTGAACAGGTTTAAACAATCATTAAAACTTCTTCCTGCTGGTGATGAAGCAATTAACTGTCTCAGACTGCGCCAGAAACAAAGTCACTAAGGAGAATAAATTCTCTGTTTTTTCTCCTTACAAAAAGCCCTTTTTCATCTTGCTATGTAAATCTGTCCTGTTGGGTTGGGAGGGAAGGAAACTTGGACTAGTGCCATCTCTTTGTTTTCTTTTGCTTCAAGAGGAGCTTGCTTGCTAGCATAACGGTGCTTTTTGGGGGCTAGTTCTGGACTTTATTTCTCTTTTTTAAGCTGTTTTTTATTTAGTCTGGTTTTGCACTCCTACCGAGGATAAACTTGGCCACTGCTAATACTATATCAAAAGCCATCAGGTTTGATCTCTCTCTCCTCTTTTCACTCCATATGTTTGCACATAGAAAGCTTCACAGTATTAAGGTATCTGACACGCTGTCAGACAAACAGCACTTCCAGGGAACAAGAAGTATTAAGGCTACATCCAGTTTTTGTGATGACATGTAAAGGCTGCCTGTTGCATCCTGTGTACAAAGAATTTGCCAAAGTAGGACAGAAATCCCTTGAATGGCCAGAGGCAACACCTTCTGGAAATCACTCTAGTGTATTCTGAGCAGGAGGCTCTTTAGAACCTCACCAACTGCCAGCAAATATGTGGTGCTGATGGCAGACTGTGTGTGCAGTAGGTGACTAGGTTGAACGATACGCAGTGTGGAGGCTAGGTACCTATGATAACTGGATGCCAAGGAGGGATACACAGAGCTGTCTGAGAGACCTGTGCCTTTCTCACAACAAAATAAGTCTGCCAATACCCTATCTGCTCATGGGTATGGAATTTAACATGAGGCTAACCTTCCTCTTCCTGGGAATGGGTTCATCAAAGAGAAGGTTGCTTGTTTCAGCTTCATCAATACCATCATCTGGTTGGGAAGGTGTCCGAAAAGCTTTGAAGCTATCAGCTGACAGAGGTGGAGATGGGGTGGAAGGGTTGGACTGGTCACTGGGAGCGTTCCAGCTCCAGTATCCACTGCTGCTGGTACTAGAAGGCACAAATCCTCCTTCTTTCCAAGATCCATTTAGGGATTCTGTCAAGACAACAACAGCCATCATTACAAAAGTATCATGTGTTAGAGCTAAGGAGCTCTTTTATCTAAGGCTTAGATGCCATGTAAGTACCTGTATGTTCAACAGAGGGAAGTGAAAGCATTGGATGTAGAGAGGACAACACCACCTATCCCACTGCACACAAATTACATACCCCAAACTTGGTTTAAAAACACCAAAACAAAATCCAAAGTATTTTTCTAAAAAAGAAATGGTGGGTTTGGAAAAACAAGCAGTTCTGGAGCATAAACTGCACTAACTATGACTAAGGGAAAGCATTCAAATACATTCTCAACTTCCAACAGGAACACATGACTGTGGTGGAGCATCAGAGCAAACTCCAAGTCACCGCAAGGCTAACAGGAGATCCCCTGCAAAGGGGACATATGCTCCGAGCCCCAGGGCACTAAGTAGATCTGCAAAAACATGATCATCATCCCAGTACTGAAACACCAAAGAAAATCATAACAACATCGTCTCTCCTCACAATCCCCCAGTGCACACGTCTCTACCTAATTTGAATCTCTAAATGGGGTGGTACGTATCCTTGGAAGGACATCCCTTCTTCTGCACACAAGTGTATGGTCAGGCATGTGGTTTCAGAAGTGGGACACACGGACACTGGACCACCTCCACACCTACTTGCTGGAGGAGCCCTCCCCTGACATTAGGTGTTACGCAGACACTCAAACTAACAGGTCATTCTACAACATGGTGGGTGGGAGTACAGGCAATGCTTTTGCAGTTTGAGACACGTTTCACATGCCGAGGTCCTCAGGCATTGGACACTGGCACGTCACTGTTCCCAATCTCTACAGGGATCCAAAAGGGGCAGGAGAAGAGTATGTAGGTCGTCAGTTCAGCAAAGGTATGTTTTAGGTGCACTTTGTCCCTCACTCAGGCACTGGAAGCTTTTCCCAATGACACTGTAGGTACCTGAATATTGTGCAACATCCAAATTTGGAGCTGGAAAATTAATAACACCTTATCTGTTCATGAAACATTATTTAAGTAGGAAACAGGAGTCTTTTCAAGCCAGTATCTGCCTTTAAGAGTTCTGCAGAAGTCACTCCTTCATTCCTTCTCAATTTCTTACAGATAACTAATGACATCAGCAAGAAAATAATGTCTACCACCTGCTACTGAAAGCTTAACCCCAAACCAAAGAATTTTATTCTTTTCCACCCTCCTAATCCAGTTGGTTTTGGATGAAACCCTTCGCCATTAACACTGGATGCTCACGAAACAGAATGCAGTGCTCCATCACGTAAGCACATGCATAACACTACCCCCTTGCGTAGGCAGCTGCAAGTCCCTGCTCTTACTGATCAGGGCCACAAACCTCAAATGGGATCAATCCTCCCTTCCCAATCCAAATTCCTCTCTGGAAAAGGACATATAAATTTCCGGTAGCTAGTAAGTTAACATATAAAAATGTCATGTTTTAGTTCATCATTACAGCCTTCATGTGACTGTAATGGAGATGGGTTTTGTTTCTTTTAAGTATTTGTACTTGAGTCTTGTGTCAAGGCCAAGAAGTACATCTGGTATCAACTTGTGACCTTAGCATAGCTTAAAATTTCCATTTCTTCAGAAAAGCAAAGGAAACAGCACTCTTTCAGCTACTACTTTCTGACATATTTATGGTGGTACTTTGTATTCTCAGAGTTTACAGCTTCTCCTCACCTTGCAAAGAGATGTAAATCAAGAACATTTTTAAAGTAGTTATGAAAAGACTGAATGAGGTCGACAGCAGGAAAAAAACAAACACTGGTTCTCGTTAATACTAACAAATCTGTCAATGTAAAGAAGCTTAAGATATAAATAAATGTAACTTACTCTTATTTGGGGGCTCTTTTCACATTGCTGGAACCGTGTGAAAGAGAACCAGACCAAATATTACTCAGCTGCAGGGAAACAACAGTCAAACTCTGATCCAGTTTACATGGGTGATAATCCCCTGTAATTCCAGCACAGACCAGACTTTAATATTAATGCTGGGTTTTTTTGGTTTTGTTTTTTTTTTTAACTTCTATGCAAAATTGATCTGTTTAAACAAATGTTTCTTTAATTACACTGTTACTTACTGCCTTCTTTTGGAAAAGGATGTCGAAAGAATTAATCATTAGTACATCTGTAGTTCATGTTACTAATATGAGCCTTGCAACACCAAATGAGCTTTAAATTATCAACTCTCTACGCTTTTTTTAAAGTCTTTAGTTAATCTGCACTAAGATATTTAGGGACAAGGTGCTTAACAACAGCTTCAGAATCTTGTTTGTGACTACTGAAAACACATGCATTACTTTTTCAGGTTTCCCAGATTTCAGGAAACAAGCAGACAAGCTATGTGAAGAAATATCAAAGAGCACTCAGACTGCATGAAGAAATATCAAAGGCAGTTAACAGATACCATTTACCTATTAGCAATTCAAAAGGGCTTGTCTGGAAGATCTTTTCCAATCGACAGCTGCTAGCTCATGCACGCTGCTGGTCCTGACAAGTGTCATCTGCTCCAACTGTCTAAGGCAGCAGATACTGCCCTGCCCCAGATCAGAGTCGCTCCCTGTGGCGGGGAATGCAACGTAGGACATATGTGTGCCTCAGCAACTCCAAATACCTGCCTGGCACACCAGCACAGATCCATCTTCACCTGTGATTTCGACTGTGAGCCAAGCAGCTAGAGAGCAGGTATGCTTCTACCCTTTCACTGGTGTTCCCTGAGGGCTGGCAACCTCCAGCCCTCAGGCAGGACAGTCGCTGGGGATGTCACTGCAGGGGTCCCAGGGCTCTGCAGAGCAGTGGTGCTCCATAAACACTTACAGAATCATAGAATCACAGGATCACAGAATGCCTTGGCCTGAAAGGTGCCTTTAAAGGCCATCTAGTCCAACCCCCCTGCAGTGAGCAGGGACATCTGTAACTACCTCAGGTTACTCAGAGCCCCGTCAAGCTTGACCTTGAATGTCTCCAAGGATGGAGCCTCCACCACTTTTAACTTCTGGTTTTCAACACTGGAAAGCAAACAAGAGCCATGGATGTTCAGAGCTAGAATTCCAGCTAAATTGATAAAACTTATATTTTCTGGAAAGAAATGGAAAAACCACTATTTGTTAAAAAGATATGAAGCTGGGACATTTGGTGCAAATTTCTTCTAAAAACACCACTCAGGCGCTCCCCCTGCTTTCATAAAGCAATGCAAAGACTTTTAATTTGCATCTGTAAGTATTCGTCAACATCCTCCAATTATTTGGAGGGCATCTAGTGTGCATTTAACAGATACAGGCGAGTGAGAAAAGCCAGAGTCATACAAACAATGCCGAAACATCCTAACAACAGTATCCTAACTTATACTATTCCTTAAAATATAAGACTTATACAAATTTATTTTAAATCCAGTCAAGCTTGCTCATACTCCCACAATTCTTCAGTACGAGGGTGGCAAGACTCTGGACAAATTGTCCAGAGAAGTTATGGATGCCCTCTCCCTGAAGGTGTTCAAGGCCAGGCTAGATGAAGCCTTGAGCAGCCTGATCTAGTTGAGAGGCGTCCCTGCCCATGGCAGGGAGGATGGATTAGATGATCTCTAAGGCCCCTTCCAACCTAGGCCATTCTATGATTCTATGATATTATATTTCACCAGCAATCTCATTATTACCATAAACTTTTTAAATTTATTGTTATTTGTGCATCTTTCACTACACCATGGATGCAGTAGTCTTTTAAGGAATTATGAGTTTTACGGTAGACCATCAGAGAGATGCAAAGGGCACAGGAATTGAGACTAATTCTGCATCAGCAGAAACAGACCTGTCACCGTGCAGACTGCTAGTGCACGGCCTCTCAGCCTAGGGCTGTGATCTGGAAGTGCTTTGCCTCATTGTAGCATTGAGTAAAATCTGACCTGATTTCCATGGGGTGGGGACAAGAACAACCACCGTCACGTTTACTGCAGACATACACCTCTGAGTAAGCTGTTCGGAAAATCAGCGTTCCAGTCAGGTCAGGAGACCTTCCACAGCACTCATCTCCCATTTATACAACGGGATGTCTCCCAAGTCATAGACCGGAGCCGCTCTATGGTTACGTGTTATGGTTACGGTTTCCTCTCATTCCCGCCAACGCTGCACCGCAGACTTTGACTAGGTTGGAGCAAAGCCCAGTACGATCCCCAGCATCCACTGTCTTCTACCGTGGCCACAACTTCTGGAAAAAAGCCCCCACCTGCCTGGCCATGATACCCCTCCCTGCAGCCCCTGCCCAGGCGCTGCTCTTCTGCCGCCTTACCGTTGGGTCGGACAGGAGGGCTGCGGACCAAGGGGCTGGTGGATAAACTGGTGAGTACCATGGCTGCTGTTACTTTATCCATGTCCAGTTCTTCTGAAGATTTTCTGAAACACAGTGAACAGGAGGCAGGAAACTCATCAGCAAATATTTAACTTTTTTTTTTTAGTGGTCTTTTTTCTATTTCTTTTTCTTAATACCTGCCCAAACCCTAAGCATGCACAGCACAGTAACAAAAGCAGGCCATGGAGTTCTCACAGCTTTTGTCTTCTGGCAGCCTGAGAACATTGATTACTTTATGCAAGCTAGTTCAGCGCAAAGAGACAAAGCAGTAGGGAAAAAGAATACATCTTTATAAAAAACTGTCAGGATTATTGTGACCCTCCATAAGTTTGACTCTGTTCCATTTTTTCCCCCAGATTTTCATATCCTTAGAGCTAAGTGTGTACTTAAAAGTTTCTTTCCTTGTGTGGAAACATAATGATGCAAAACCAGATAAGATTACTGGTAACATTAATAACATACACTACTCTCTGTAGGGTGAGGAAGAGCTATGAACTGGAGCTAAGGGGTGTAATTTTTTCTTTGTTGCTTCTGCCTAACACTATTAACCTTCCTGCACTCTCTCTGAAAGACTCATCCTAAGTGTTTCCTGGTCAGATTATAAACCAATTATTTAAAATAATTAGCAAATTGGCAGAAAAACAGTGCAAGGAAAAACAAAACAAAACAAAAAAAAGAGATTTTTTGCAGGTGTGATGGGCGTCTGAGCCAGCAGGATGGCACAGCGGGAAGAGAGGGGCCTGTTGTTGCCTTTGCTTGGTCTTGCTGGGAACCAGCTCTAAGTCAGAGAAGAGGGCATGGGAAAGGGGTAATAAGGGAGAGGAGGACAGCCAGCTTTCCATGGGAAGGAGAAGAGGATTTGGAAAACAATAGATACTGCCAGAAATCAAGCTTCAGCGACCCATCACTCAAGCAGTCATGTTATTTTTAGACAACGCAGGATTTTGTCTGTAAAAATGTATATACTATAATTTTTTTCCCCCAAAATTAACTCCCTGACAACGCACAATTTCTGAAGAATGAGCATACCAAATGAAACGACTAAATCCACTATGTTTAGCAGAGTTTTGCTTTCTGTCCTTGTGGGACAGCGGAAGCAAAGCAGACAGCTTCTTGCAAATGTCTGCTTTCAAACATACAACTGATCATCCAAGCACAGCTTCTCAATTGCTAGGGAACAAGTCAAATTTGTTCTTGTAGAAGTACACCCTCCCTCCCTCTATTCTGCATTGTGGGGTATCTTGGATTTCCTCTGTTTCTTGCCATGAGCTCTATATAACCAGTCAGGCCGAGTCTTTATTAAAGCCCAACATGAGAAGTGTTCAGCTACCTGACACTTTCCATCAACCGCTGACTGGTAAGTCACCAAGAGGAACAGGACACGCTGGTTGCAGTACCCTTTCTAAAATCCAATTTCACCCATCAGGTGGAAGGCTCATTAACTGGAAACTACACTACAGGCAAAGCCTCTTGATATTTTAGCAAGCAAACCTTGAACTTGTCCATGAAGCAGCTCACAGCTGCTTTCGGGCTGATGCGAGGACCCACGCAGATGAAGTCTCCTGTGCCGCACGACAGCTGAGCTCTCAGGACTGTCTTTTGCATCACAGCAGTGCCCGGGAGCGAAATGCTGATGATGGTTCCTTCTGTGTTTTGATTATATCCACAGAAGCCCTCCTCTCCTTCAGCCAAGGCTTTTGCAAAGAGCACAGCAGTCATATGGTCATCACCGACTACTGGAAAGGTCTTAGATATCTGCTACCATGAGCTGATATCTGAATCCATCACCCATAAAGGTCCTCTGGAGCGCAGAGGAATATTTCACTCAGAATGCCAAACTCCTCTGGGCTCAGAAGACCTTTCCTAAGGGATGACATGAAGATGCTACATTTTCCGGACACCAACCCCAACGGATGGTTTTCCCATTATCCAATAACTTAGTATGAAAATCTACTCTCTAAGAAGGATTCAGCTGCTCTGCAGTCCACTCCACCAACTGTCTGTCCATACTCCTTTATGCAGCTGTGGATGAACCACTAATATTTGCACTTCTGCAACACATGAGGACAAAATGACCATGGTTTCCCGCTACGCTGGAGAAGCTGATGCCTGGTGCTTGCAATCAGCTTTCCAGCAAGGCTCTTCTGCACCTTTAGTAACAGAATTCCCATCCAGGCCTCTGCAGAATTGCAAAATCACCCTACAAGAGTTGTTGCAAGTGTTTGCAAAGTTGGTGTCAAGATAGAGTCAAGATTCAGGGCTAATTCCACAGTTCCCCTGAACAGTCTATAATTTTAACATCTTCTGTATTGATTTTTTCTCCCCCCCTCTAAAATGACTCAGGCCGCTGCTCTGAAAAACTAACCTTTGCTAAAATAATGTTGTCAATAATGCCCCAAAATAGATAGCATTAGTATCCGTGTCAAAGACAAAAGTTTTCACAGGTAGGCAAAGAAAAGGAATAGTCATGAGAATCCCTGCCATCTCTAGCCATGCTCAACCATGCTCAACCATGCTCTTGTGATTACTGGAATGCTTTTTTCTACCCTGATTCAATTTAACAAGTTTTCAGTATTTAAAGCCCAAAGAAATAAAATTTTGGACTTTCTTCTGCTTATTTTGAATCCCAGTCATTTTTACTACTTAGCACTCCTCAGCTGCATCCAGCAAACAAGGAATGCTCTGCTCGTACTTCCCAGCCACAAGAATTTTAGCAGCTACAAGTGTTGGCTTACGCAACTCTGCTCCCAAACGCACTTTTACAGTTTGGCTCATCAATGTAAACACACATATTTCATACATTACTCAGCCAGCACCACTACAGCAACAGCAGCCTTCAAGAGAGAGGCGAGTTTAAAACTGAAGACCACTTAAGCCATCTGCATTTAGTCAGCATCACATGTGAGTCGATGTCTTAAGACTGCTCCAGTTTTTTCCAGCTTTCTCCACTGGCGAGTTGAGCCTGGACACAGTTGTTCAACAGTATCTGCACTCAGAGAGGAGAATAACTTGTTTGTTACACATTGTTCACAATCCCTTTACTCCATCACTTCTCAGCTGATTTTCTGCAGACTGAAGTTATAATCCCTGATGCTGCTTATACTGTTATTAGGTGTAGTGTAATCTAAATTAGTTGTAAGACCATCTACTATACCAGCTATGAAGATATCCTCTTTCCTCTAATCCCACACCCCAGTTACCAAACATCATCTCCCAACTTCTGGATGGATATATTTGTGTCAGCCCAGTCTATATTTGAGACCAAGTCATTCTGGATCCTTTACTTCCAACTCTGGAAATTCAAATACATGTGAACAGCTGAATTATAAAGAAGCAGCTGAGTCACAAGCAGCAGAAGTTAGAGGATCTTGGGGACAGATCTTTTACTACGACCCCATGTCTCTCAGCCTCGTGTCTGTCTGCTTCCTCAGAAGGAAGAATGGTTTCACTGGATCCCTGTAATACCCTAATCTAGCCAGCCTTGTATTTAAAATTGTCCTTTTCTTTAACAGCCAAGCTCAAATTAAATGTAGTTACTACCCTCACTCTTGCTCAATCCTTTCCTTGGTTTTGCTGATGATTTTCACACTTTTTTGACAGTTATTTAACGGTGCTAAGAAACCATCACATCTTCCTCAGAATTCTCCGCAAAGAAAAGCTGGGTTTAAGCTCCAAAAGATGAGCAAGAAATGGTCCAGGATGAGTCCAAGGCTACACGAGTGTCCCAAACCAACCCAACATCCTATCCCCTACTGTCCCATTTCCTCAGTCAGCAGCTGACTCCCACTAGGACCCATGTTTCCTTATGGGACTGAGACCATAAGCTCTTGGTGCAATTCCTCCCTACTAGCAACTTTCTGAGGAGGGGACATCTTCCTGACTTCCTTTTGGGAAAGGTGCACAGATCCTCTTCTGGCCACTGCCACCTCCATGCTCCCTACTACGTGTTATTCCCATCTGGATACACCTGTGCCCCATCTCTGCTTTTTTCTTCTATCAGTCACATCATTGTCGATGGTTGGAACTGGTTTTTTTAAAAAAAACTTTCAAAGAATCTTTAGAAATACATATTTTATTCTACTTTTCAAGTCTTTGTTCTATTCTTTATTATTTGCCTGCTTTAGAATAAAAACCCTACAGTTCTTCCTCTTAGAAAGAATGCATCTTAGGTCAGTACTTTACCCAAATATATTTTAAGGGTCCTGGAGAATATTCTTAGAGAAACTGGTAGTGTTAGCAGATGTTTTTGAAAAAACCTGACCGTTTTAGCTAAGTTCATTTTAAGGAAAGAAAAAATAAAACCCACAAAAATTTATTTTCCTCGTCCACAACGCCTACAGTTAATTCCCTGACCAGTAGCTTCCTACTCGAGCGCAGCGATGCTCAAAGCAATGAGATATGAATTCACTGTCTTTAAAGTGCCCTCCGATGTTCTGGAGCTGCCCCACAAAACTGAGAGTGGACCAGGCAGCGTTTCCTCACCAGGGCTCCACTCTGAGCAGGTGAGAGAGTGGAGCAGGGTCACCAGCATCTTGGAGCTGGCAGGACCAGGCTGCGAGGCAGCAGAAACTACAGTACTGGGAGCAGAGCTCACAGAGAAGGCTCTAATTTCCAATAATTTCAAGTTGGCTACAGAAGTTGATGGTCCCAGACTCAGCCTTCTTCTCCAGAACCACATCTCCTTGCTGTTCCAGCACTGTTGAGCTTGTCTTTCCTTATCCTGCTTTCTAAAACAACAACCACTTGAAGCCCATAGGCCCTAAACATTCCAATTTATTAAAAGGTTTACATCTTTTTCGTATGGCTTACCTATTTCCTACTGCTCTTCTCACCAGAGGGACACAGGAAAAAACAAATAAAACTTAAAAAAATTAACCAGCATTGATCAATAGCAGTGGCAGTCAAGCTAGCAACTGTCCTCCACCCAAAAACCAGCTTACGGCAGTGATCCACAAAACACCTTAATCTTTGCAGGCACTAATGTGCTACAACTAGGACAAAATAACAGTATATTTAAACTGCTCTCTCCCTCTCATACATACAT